TTATTGGTTGTGAGCAAATCAATTTACAGTCATATTGCGGCTCATAGTGACAGCTTATGTATTGCCTGTGTCAGTAGTGGTGGTGACCATATTTATGTCCCATGCAAAACTGTATCTCATGTGTCTGAATGGTTAACTGATTACACTAACGGTCACCAAATTTAAAAAAAGGTACCTTGTGCCTCCAACTTTGTATGGATGAGCTATGGGTTTAAAGGCTCTGATTGGAGGAGAAGGGCCCGGAGCAGGTCTGTTGCTGACGTACTGCGGGGGTGGAGCAGATTGTGGGACGTCCTGCCTTTTCCACTGGGGGCTTTGTGCAGCACTAGAGGCCGGACCTGAGGCCTGGTAACATCCAAATGTACCTGAGGGAAAAAATACATTCTCAGAGGGAAATCTTATAGCATCCTCTGCCACCTGCAGCTCTGAATCTTAATTAATGGGGAGATGTTTTACAATATTGTCCTATATTTAACATAAAATGGACTTAATGGTGTGATTCAGCAGTAGATGGGGATTTTGAGCAGTCAGGCATTAAACAACACACAAAGGCAATAATTACTTTTTGTAATGTATTTTTCTTTGGATATACTGCCACCTGGTGAGTGAAATACAGTGCAAGCTTAAAGAGCTGAATGCTTCACCTGAAGAGCTGTGAGGTGCAGCTGAGCTGCTGCTTGCATTGTATTCACTGTGGGAGAAGAATTCATTCTCAGAGGGAGCAGAGGTCAGAGGAACTCTGCTTCTCTTCTTCTGGTTGAACAGCGGCACAGATATGCAGCCTGATGGACACAGCAGAGGAAACATATCAGCATATCAGACTGACTGCAATGTTAATATTTATAATGTTACTATAATATAACAATAAGTGTACTTATCATCTAGACTCAATATTTTGTATTGAGTTATTTTGATTCAGTGTTGGAAGAAATACTCAGATCCTTTACTTGAGTAAAAGTACAAATAATATGGTCTTAAAGTACTCAATTATATGAACAAGTCCTGATTTCAAAATGTTACTTAAGTTACTTAAAATTAAATAAAAAATTAAAATAATAAAATAAAGTACAGAAGTATTATCAGCTAAGTTTACTTCAAGTATAAAAAGTAAAGTACTTAAAAAAGTAGTGATATTTTCACATTATTATATTATTAAGTGTATTATATAATGCTGTTTTTATACATGTAAGAGCCTTCAGTATTTTAGTTTGTCAATGTGGAACAAAGGAAGATACATGAAATACTGTGTAGATTAGTAGTACAGTACTGCATTATACTATATCAGCATATCCTGTGTTTTTTATGTAAAAAGTAACTGTGAGTGTTAAAATTGTAGTGGAGGAAAAAGTACAACATTTGCCTCTGAAATGTATTGTAGTAGAAGAATAAAGTAGCATTAAATAGAACATTTCAAGTAAAATACAAATATGTCAAACGATTACTTAAGTACAACACATTGAGTAAATGTACTTAGTTACTTTACACCACTCTTTGTGTTTACGTTATATCACAGGACTATATTAAATGGAGATGAATTTGTAAAGTATCTATTTAACTAACCTGCTGTTTGCCTGGGCTGCTGGTTCTCCTGTCTCCTCATTGTGGTGGCTGGAGACAAATAGCTCATCCAGTCAACCTGAGATGGGGGTATTACCTGAGGTACACGAGGAGACGCAGGTCGTTTTTTACTCTATAATACCATATACTGTGTATATATAAAGTATAATACAATACAACTGATGTCCTGGTTTATATTGGTCCCCCACTTGGTTCTTCACAAGTTAACAGGTGATGGGATAACTCAGTTGGAAAGACTTGACAATTTAAGCCAGTTTATATTCGGTTGCTTTGTCAGTTTAGCAACAACTGTACAGCTTTTTAGCTAGTTTAGCTTTATGATAGTTAGCTGACACGCTAATGTTAGCTTATTCTCTAAACAACTCGTCTAGTAGCCTAGCATACAACTAAAGTTGTAACTGTCTTTCAATTTTACATCCCCAAATTATTTAGTAAATCCATTACTAAATATTTGTTGGTAAAATAAGAAAAGTTGCTACCTCATCGACAAAGTTCATCACCCTGGAAAACGACCCGCGCCAAAACAGGTGTTGCCTTCACGTTCCACAAGAAAAGTTGGATCTCCTCTTTTTAAATCGAAGAGCATTTAATCGGCCATGAATTTTGGTTGAAAATATGGACAACATTACTTTTATGTAACGTATATATTGGTGCATTTTTTAAATTTGGAAGCACACAACTTTCCAGGCACATTTTACTAATTTTACTGTATGCCGTGTATGATTCTATGAATCAGCCCCATCATTTGTTTGAGATCGTTTTTATGAACGAGTAGGTGGTATCTTGTCAGTAAGCATAATTAGATACCACTTACATTAAATACAGATATTTAATATACATAGTATGGAACCAGGTCCAGGGTGCTGTTTTGTTTAAAAGGATGTATGGCTTGGACTACCTATAGGTAGGAATTATTTAATTGTATTGGCCAATCTATAGACTGGCATAGTCTGTAATCTCTTCCTCTTGCTTGCCAGGAGCAAAACAATATGCATAACACACAGCCAGCTGGTTGTTTTACCTCGTCTGTCTGAATTAATAAAAAATACATATATGATTTCAATACTTACTCCTAAATTCCCAGTGTGGGTGAAGAATTATAAAAATCGTCAAATGTAAAATCGTTATCTGTATAGTCAGCACCCTTTTCATTTTTTGTCAGAATTTGCAGGGTGCACAAAACTATGAGTCTTACACAAAAACACTTACTTCACACAAACCATCAGCATTAGAAAAGCTTTTTTCCCTTATTTAAAAAAAATCTGTCAGCACAGTTTAATTAAGTTTATGGGCACTTCACAAACAAATATAGCGGACCAATTGTCTATCTTAAAAAGCATCTCAACTACAGACTCACCTCTTTGCTGTACATGTGTTGACTAATAATCTATAGAGGTCAATTTATTAAAGAGGTCATCAAACCATTTAGTGGAGGAACAAACCCCCCAAAAGGCTTTAGTTATCGAGGTAGAACAAAGCACAACCATGTTTTTTCATTACTTTAATATGTCTAGTTTATGAAACGGATGGTTGTATACAAATATTTTACTGCAAAATATATTTGTTTTGGTTAATGTTTGGAACTTTCCCATAACCGAAAATAGTGAAAATGTGGGCTCCTCTGAAGGGGGCCGTGTTGGCCTTATCCCAGGTTGCCCATGTATCCCTGGAAATAATTATCAGGATGTCGCCATATTTGGCCTATGTTCACAGAGAGGCAAGGCATACAATAAAGCAATGATTATATCAATACCTTTTACCATCTTTGTAATATTCACACTTAAACACACATAAATCATAGGCGGAAATGGAATAGGACATTTAAAATGCAAAAGGTATGTTTATGCTTTTCTGTCATTTTTAAACTAAAGAGTCCAATCACCCAACAATGTCATTTATATGTACCAGAGACTCTTATCTATTCATAAAAATAGTTTTTTTGACTATTCACTTCACCCTGAGCAATGAAATTTTTGGGTGATTGAACTCTTTAGTTTAAAAATGACAGAAAAGCATAAACATACCTTTTGCATTTTAAATGTCCTATTCCATTTACGCCTATGATTTATGTGTGTTTAAGCGTTAATATTACAAAGATGGTAAAAGGTATTGATATAATCTTTGCTTTATTGTATGCCTTGCCTCTCTGTGAACATCTAGGCTAAATTTGGTGACATCCTGATCATTATCTCCAGGGATACATGGGATAAGGCCAACACGGCCCCCTTCAGAGGAGTCCACATTTTCACTATTTTTGTTTATGGGAAAGTTCCAAACATTAACCAAAACAAATAATTGTGCAGTCAAATATTTGTATACAACCATCCGTTTCATAAACTAGACATATTAAAGTAATGAAAAAACATGGTTGTGCTTTGTTCTACCTCGGGTAGGGGTACCTCAACTTTTAGAAGGTCTATAGGGAAAGACAAGGGCAAGGGCGACTCGGTTCAGCCTTTCGTTGCACACTGAGCCTGAGGCAAACCTCAGCTGCAATGTGTTTGTGTGGCATCCTTGCTGAAGCCCAAAGGCCGCTCTCTGAACTTGACACACATGGCTTCTCTGTCTTGTGTTTCCTCGGTCTGTGAATCCATGGCAACAGATGCATGAATGCTCTATTCAGGATGGACTCCATTACATAATTTGCAAATCGATCAGCAAACAAGGTGTGATGTGAAATTCAAGTTTTTTTTTTTAAAGATACAAAATAGGATGTCTTTATGGAGTTTATTTTGAAAGTATATTCCAGAAGAAGACTATGCTTTGACAAATAAACTTGTCTGATATGCAGCATCTTGTAGTCATAAGAGGTAATAAAAGGGCGGTACTAGATCCGCAAACAATGTTATTGTAGGGTAAAACCCAGTTATTATTTATTTAGTATACTTGCGATGTCCGGTCTTTGTCTTGACTAGATTTTGAATAGGACATTGTCTACGTTGGGTATATTTTCTGATTCTGCTAATGATTAAGATAAATAGTAAAACTGTCAGTTCTTGTATTAAAAACTATTTGAAAACATAGAAGTGATAACTGGCCATAGCACCATATGTGTAAGGTGATCTTCTCTACATCATATGAAACTGTAATATCATTTTGTGTAATATAATTGTGCCATAAATAATGAGTATCGATTAATGACTATCAAATTTGATGCCATAAATCTCCACACGTTATCTTTCACTCATGAAGGTATTAAGATAGTATTTGTGTGTACTCCTTCCACATGTCATTAAAAAGTCCTAATGATTGACTTTTATGTTATGTGTCGAGGTTTGCCCTCTAATGTCCAGCCATGATCATCAACCAACTGATCTGTCCTTAAATTATTATCAGTCAGCCAATTCCCCTTAGAATATACCATGAAACACATCACACATTGTTGTTTTGTTCCATGATCTTCCAGAAGTTTCAGTAAGTTTCCTGGTGAGACATAAATCTGAGCGTTGATCGCGTATTTCCTACATCCCAAACTGGCAACCTGCGTGTTGTTCCGGGGGAGGCGCTTGTACGCAGTAGTTTCTGGAAGGAACCTCATGCTTGCACCATGGAGAAAGTGAGTGACATAGAACTATCTTAATTTTTTGTTTATTTCCTTCAATTTTACATATCTTTACAATATAACTTAGAGTAGAGCAGAGATTAATTAAGTTAAATACTTAAGTAGTGTAATGTAGACACCGTTCTACACCTTGACTTCACTGTTTGCCTTTACCAGTCGGCTAGTTAGCTCGTTAGCTTAGCGTCAATCCGGTAGTAATGTGTATTAGCTGTTTGGCTGATGTTTTCGATTAAGGTTGTAACCAAACCAACACACCATATTTTGACAATGCGACTCTGCAATATAGTTTAACCGGAATTAAAAGTGTGCTAATTCAACAAGATTAACTGAACGTGCATCTGCGTGCGGTTCTTGCTAATTTGCAATTGCACGCTATAAGGTTAGCTAACATTAAGCTAGCGCATATGACTTACACTTCTTACGGCTGCTTTATCGTTGAAAAATATCACACTGAGGTTTGCCTGCCTCTGTAGCCATTGTCTATGTCTTGCTAACTCCTAGCAAATCACCGGCATAATGGCTTTGAATAACTCCTGAGTTACTGAATCATTGTGTCATAGCTCACCATGTGAACTCTATCATTGATAAGGTGACGGACAAATGAAAATCATAATTGGGCCAGTAGATGTATATCTGTTAAAAGATTGTGTCAGGATGCCGACAGCTACTGCGGCGGTCCGCCAGTAGCACATGCTGCAGATTATTTTTGGATCGGCTCCTCAGCAGCCTGCTCTCAGACCGGGGATCATTCTAGATGCACACGGCGCCGCTGTCATGGCTACAGCCGCAGTTTGTCGTTAACTCCCGCAGTTCAGCTAAATCATCCTACAAATAAATATACTGTGGTGGAAGAAGTTAATATATATTGCATCTGGTACATCTTAAGCTAATTTGAAAAACTACTATTGTGTTGCTATTGGGTATAAATTAGTCAATTAAACTTAACCTATTTATATATTATTATTAAAAGTCTGAATTTCAACAATCAGAATTATTGTGGGATAGAAGTTTAAATTAGCAGAAAATGAAAATACTCAAGTAAAGCACAGGAGCGTCTTAGTTATATATACAATACTTGAGCAAATGTAGCCTACTTACTTTCCACCAGTTATATTGTAATGCCTTACCTGGTAAGTCATCATAATAAGTCATCGTAAATGTAAAATGTAAAAGTTCCACTTTACATTATAGATCAAAATAAAGCAATACTTTTTGCAAACCCACAGTGTCTCCATCAAATACCCTTGAATTACCAGCTTTCTCTCGTCAAAACTATACTATAATATCATTCCAGCCCCCATTTTAAATTATGGATAAATTAAGTATACTTGGAATTCATTATACACATATGACACAATCCAAAAGAAAGCATAATCATGAATAACCAGACCACACTGAGATACACATTCGTATCTGTTCCTTCCATGAACTATTCTGTGAACAATTATTTATTGATGCTGCTAGTAGTGCTTGGTTTATCATCATTTTGGCTAATTCTACAGATTTTATATTTTGTCATAGTTGCGACTGGTTTAAAAATTAGGTAAAGAATTGTGAAAATAGATTTGTCAAATATAATCAGTAACAGACATTAGAAACAGGTAGGTGCCAAGTAGGTTAACACATGTGAAGAATTTGTCTTGGTGTTTTTGGTGCATACATAAACATACATTAATAAAATAATAATGATAAACCAACTAGAAATACTTTTTTTTCTTTTCGATCAGAGTAACAGCTAGTGTGTAATTAATTCCGTCACATACTGTGGAGATGCAGTGTGATAAGTAGTATTAGTAACCAACTAGTGACGATTTGTTGGGAACAATCTTGCTTAAAGGGGACCTATCATGCAAAATACACTTTGTGATGTCTTGTATACATAAATATGTGTCCCCGGTAGGGCTGCACGATATTGAAAAAAACTGACATCGCGATTTTCCCCTCCCCCTGCGGTATATATTGCAGGTTTTTTTTACCCGTTAAGCCCCAAAGTCCCAGCGGGTACTTTACTTTTTTTGTTCACGACACTGTGTCTCAGGGGATCTTAATATTTAAGAACCTATTAATGTGTTGTACCAGATTAACGGAAATAATCTCAGCTAACTGACGATACAAACCATTTTTACCAAAACAAAACACAAGTCTCATAAGAAGCATCTAAATGACCCCCGAGCGAAAAATGCAAACGCACTTTGGCACAGAACTCAAGATAAAAGTACCCTTATTACTTATCGTAGCTGCACATACAAGATATCCGATTAAAGCTGAGGTTCCACAGATTATTTAGGTATATAGTATCATCACTGAGTGATCCGAACTCAGACAGGGGAAGCAAACACAGACATCACAACACGTACCTTTACGTAGCTTCTAGGGCAGATGTCTCACCGTAGCTGTCAATCTGATCAAAAGACGTGTTCAATGGCATTAAAACGAGAAAAAACGCGGCTGAATCGGTTAATCCATAGGTTTTTAACGTCTGTATACAAATATTATTTCATTTATAATCCATAATTCCATTTTTATGTAAAAATTGCAGAGCAAAAGTTAGCTGCTAATGGTAGCCACCAGAGTGGCTGCTGCTTCCGGTCTTGGCTATGGCAGTCCAGCGCAGTCTAACACACACACATTACCAAATAAGGAGTGAGTGACGCGTAGCCAAAACCGGAAGCTGCATACACTCTGGTGGCTACCATTAGTAGCTAACTTTTGTGCTCCGATTTTTACATAAAAATGGAATTATGGATTATAAACAATTGCTTCAAAGCCACAGATACATTATCAACCTATGGATCAACCGATTCAGCCGCGTTTTTTCTCGTTTTAATGCCATTGAACACGTCTTTTGATCAGATTGACAGCTACGGTGAGACGATCTCCCGTAAAAGGTACGTGTTGTGATGTCTGTGTTTGCTTCCCCTGTTGCGAGATTGGATCGCTTAGTGATGATACTATACTTAAATAATCTGTGGAGTCTCAGCTTTAATCGGATATATTGTATGTGCAGTTTCGATAAGTAATAAGGGTATCTTTATTTTGAATTCTGTGCTAAAGTGCGTTAGCATTTTTAAAATAAATGAATAAAACTAGGGGTGCACCGAATGGGAAATTCTTGGCCGAAACCGATACCGAAAATAGGAAACAGTTGGCCAAAGGCCGAAAATGATTAATAGAAATATATATATATATATATATATATATATAATGTATACATTTTTTACCAATGTTGTTCAGCTACCTGATTATGGAAATAGACATGATTATGGCAAAAATTAACTTAAATAATAATCACTATTTATGTCCATAAAACATTTATTCAGCACTTTTGAATGCATACAGTACATTTATATATGTCATGTATTATTGCTAAAAAACATTATATCGCAGTCTTAGTGTCGCCAACTCGTTTCTAATATGCAAAGACAACAAATGCGTCTATGATGTGTTTTCGATCAGACGAGATCTCTCTCCCCCGTCTGTGTGCGAGGGGGCGGGGCAGTTTACACACGCGCAGCTGCTACATGCAGCGGAGCACACTGCGGAGATGGCGGAGAGAACGCGCTCCGAGGTGTGGTTAAACTTTACCCGTCTCGATGTGGAGAATACTTGTTACCATAAGTGCAATAAGAGTTTAGCATGTAAGCACGAGCAATTTGTCTAAACATTTAGCAAAAGTGCACCGCATGCAGACGGAGGAATGTACCGGGTTCGACCGTCTTTCTAGCAGCTCTGTAGCCCCATCCACGAGTAACGTTTCCACGTCAGGTGTTATGTATGCTAGCAGCAACACACGGAGTTAACTACATGATACAAACATGGGTTAATGATTAGAGGTAACTGAGTTATTTAGTTTGTTTAAATTTCAGCTATTCTGTTAGCAGTCTGTCATCAGATTATTTAATACGATTTGTTAAAGGCTCAGGGCAATCTCGATGACAAAGGTCAATGTCCCCCCTCCCTGTGAGCCAGCCGCGAGCATGGTCGCCGCGTCTTTATTACGTCATCACAACAACACGTTAGTTTACCAACGTAAGCCTGTTCTGACATTCGGTGATATTTTTTCGGTGCTAAAACCCTTTCGGCCGAAAGGGCCTTTTTAACCATTTTCGGCCGATAATTTTCGGTGGCCGAATATTCGGTGCATCCCTAAATAAAACCGCACGTCCCTGCGGTGTGAATATCGCGCATGCGCATATCGCGGTTATCGCCATGACACGGTATATCGTTCAGCCCTAGTCCCCGGTGCGTCGGGGAACTCACGCAGCGTCAGAAAATAAAACCCTCTCTCTTTTCCTCCGTACCCAAATCTTTTACAAACGGGTGTACAACGAGCGGATACAGAGTCCATCCGCTGTGACGTAATAGCGGCGGCGGACCCACAGAAAGTTGCTATCAGAAACAATGCCCGACGTGTTTTGGACGTCTTTGTTTACATTAGCAAGCCTCGCTAACACTCAGAGCTAACCTGTACTGAAGAGCACATGTGTTTAAAAGCAGGAAATAAAAAAAGAACTCACCTTATGATAAACCTGCAAGAGAAAAAGCATTTGAGCTCCATACTATTTCAGAAATAATCCTTGACGTGGTTTAAACAGGATGGCGTTTTATCACAACCGAATTTAACTTTATCTCCGGTAGAATTCTGATTAGGCATTAGCTCCGCCTCCTCTTATTTATTTTTGTTCAAGCTAAGGACCCAAAATCTGCATTTCTCTAACAGGGCTGCAAAAGAGGGGTTTGAGCAATATGAGGCATGGCTACAATGGGTGATCTGTTTGGTATTTTGAAAAAAAACTTCACAGACATGTTTTATATAGGTATGGCCCTACAATATATTTTTCAAATATAGCATGATAGGTCCACTTTAAATATTCAATATCTCCCGCTCTCTAGAGCATCATCAGTATGCTTTGCTGTCCTTTATCCTAACTGGTTTTTAGATCTGAACGAAAGTGTGGCAGTGTTTATATTCTGGAACAGACATTTTTTTAAATGTAGGGCCATCTTAAGAAAATGAAACCAGTGCATGCTCACTCTTCATGTAAACGTGTGTATATATAGCTACAGTCTATGGTCAACACAAAGAGCAGATGAGAGATTATTTTCCTGCTGCAGTGAGAGCCGATGACAGTTTAAAACACTGCTGCAATTGGGCCTGCGCAGTTACATATGAAAAGTGCAATTTAAAAGGTCAGTATTTGTGTTTTTGCCTCGGACAGACGATTTCTCTGTGCCGGGCTAGGGTACATTTATTTTGACGGCAGAGGCCGCAGCGCTCCGCTTACAGGGAGACTGAATCGGCAGAAATACTTCAGATAAAGTTTAGAAGCTTGAAACATATTTCCCTGCAAAGTGATCCAAAGCGGAATGCATCCTGGTGTATTGTATATTATCTCATTGCTTAATTCGATTTTCTTTTTTTGCATGGCTCTTTAGGTTTCAGCATTGAAAGACCAGGGCAACAAGGCGCTAAGTGCAGGGAATATTGATGAGGCTGTACGCTGCTACACCGAGGCCGTGGCCCTTGACCCTTCAAACCATGTCCTGTTCAGTAACCGCTCCGCTGCCTACGCCAAGAAAGGCAACTACGAGAATGCTCTCCAGGACGCCTGTCAGACCATCAAGATCAAGTCTGACTGGGGCAAGGTGAGATGTCAATTGTTTTGCAATTATTCTGTTGACCAAATACATAGCAAATAAAATTGTGAATGCAATCTATATCCTTTGCATTTCCAATCAACCAGGGCTACTCCCGCAAAGCTGCAGCATTGGAATTTCTTGGCCGATTGGATGACGCAAAAGCAACTTACCAGGAGGGACTCCGGCAAGAGCCAACCAACCAGCAGCTAAAGGAGGGTTTACAGAACATTGAGGCCCGGCTTGCAGGTACTAACTGTCGTATTTCTGATGTTCTATATTCTACAGAATTTTTTTTATTATGATGTGAGTCACTTTTCCCTTGTGAGTGGGTCGATATAAAGACAGGGTGTCCGCGGGGTCTTAAAAAGTATTAAAAGTTGATAAATAAATGTTGCGAAAATTAAGGCTATTAAAAAGTATTAAATGGCATTTTCCAAGGTATTACATTTTGTAGCTTGTTTTCAATAAGTATATAAATTGTCCAAAGAGGTTGTATTCTAAAGTGTGCCTGAATGTAATCATTGCGTAGGTGTGTAGTGTGATTCTGTGTAGTTTATTTATGGCATCCCGTTGGATTGGACGTCATCTGAACGGGACATCGCACGCTCACTGCTTGATAGCGCGTGAAGGTCCGTTTACGCCGGTTGTTAAACAACATCGTTATGGAGAAATGCAAGTTTGCGTCCAAATGGTTGGAAGATAAGGAGGAAGGACAATCAATACTGTATATAGTAAAGTGTGTCGCCAATGTAACCGGTTAAAACTCGAAGTGGCGATGAGGTCTTAAAATGTACGGAAAGGGTCTTAAAAAAGGTCTTGAAAGGTATTACATTTGACTTCAGGATTCCTGCATATACCCTGAAAGATGGCTGCTTTAATAGCATTGCGAGTGCTCCAAAGCAGAGTAGGCAGTCCACTTGTGTTTGGAGCATTGTGATTCATTCAGACAATAGACGAGTAGTAGGGGTGACGGAGGAAGCTCTGCTGTATTTAATCCTGACTCAGTGCAAAATATGTTAGCATCCTGAACGCTTCTATATAAGATAAGAAACTTTATTGATCGTAAATATTAGGGATGCACGATAATTATCGGTCCGATATTAGGAATTATGACGTCATCCCGATAAACCCGATACCAGTATTAATAGCCCCGATAATATACAATATATTTTTGGGTAAAAAAAATACTGCGGTGTGGGTGGATTGGGATGAGGGGCGCTTGTTTTTCACTCGGCTCCTCCCGTTTTGCCAGTACTGTGGTATTAGTGGTTTAGGAAGAGGGGAGTTCTTCACAAATCCAGCGCTCCCTAACTCATGCCTGGCTGTGACGTAAATGGTGTGCGGCCGTGAAGCCAGGACAGTAAACAAACATGTCGTCGGTGGTATGGGCGTTGGAGCTATGTGCAACTCAAGGCATATGCTTGAACCGGAGCTGCCTGGACGCTGCAATCATGTTGCGCACTATCCGTGAGTGTGCTGACTTTTCGTACAATGTCCCACTGTCTGGCTTCCTGCATAAAGTCAAGTGCTCGGCGCAGTTGTGGCAAAATGTCGCTCCTCTGTTTTCATTTAAACGGCTCCTTATATCTGTTAGCGCAGCTAGCTAGCACCAGATGCTAACAACAACAATGCACGTAAGGTCTCTCTCTCGCTCGCTCGGGCCACACATACACACACCCTCCCGGTCCTCCAGATGGCCAGTCGGTGCCTGCCGGTGAGCGTGGAAGTGTGGTCTGCCACAAGCGGGCGGCAGGAGCGGGGCTGTCAGCATCAGCTTGTAGATGGTATTTAATCGAGTTAAAATAATTAGTGGCGTAAAACATTTTTTATTATCGGTATCGGTCTTGAGAAGCAGGAAGTTATCGGTATCGGTTTCAAAAAACCAATATCGTGCATCCCTAGTAAATATACAAGATGTAACATCTTAAAATAGAATATTAAACGGAAGAGTGAAAATATTAAAGTTCCCCATCAATCCATCAATGTTTATTTATATAGCCCAATATCACAAATGTTACATTTGTCTCAGTGGTCTTCACAGTTTGTACAGAATATCAGTATGACAATACGACACCCTCTGTCCTTAGACCCTCACATCGTACAAGGAAAAACTTCCAGAGAAAGAAAAAACATGAATATAAACATATGTAGACTATCTGACAAATAAAACACTATTGAAGGGCATATTACATTTGATATAAATGTACATTGTGTCCACTAAGTCCAGCTAACAAAAGAGAAACTATGGAGCAGTGACTGGTTTGTATGACCATATAAATTACACTAATACATTTTTGCTCTACCAGAAAAATCAATGATGAACCCCTTCGCCATGCCCAACTTGTATCAGAAGCTGGAGACTGACTCAAGGACCCGTGAACTTCTGTCCGACCCCAGCTACAGAGAACTGCTGGAGCAGCTCAGGAGCAAACCATCGGAGCTTGGCACGTATGTGTATTTTCTGAAATGTGTCACTTTTAACAACTTTCTTTGATTAATGACTAACTATGTCTTGAGGCAGTACAGAGAAACAAAAAGATGCTTACTTTAGGTAGAATTGCACACAATTCTGGAAAAGCAGTACCACGTTACTTAGTAATTGTAAGCCCACTTTCTTTCCATTTATTGTATTGATTTTTGTGGAAGATCATCTTCTATGTTGGAGCTCCAAAATCAATTATTATACTCAAGGAGCCTTTTTAAATAAATCTTAATAAATCAGAAACTGAAGTTAAGTTTAAATAAAAGATGCGGTAGCCCTGAATACTGTGGACTGTTTTGCAGGAAGCTGCAGGATCCCAGAGTGATGACCACTCTGTCTGTGCTGCTGGGACTGAACCTCTCTGAGATGGATGAAGAAGAGGAGACCACTCCTCCTCCCCCCAAACCCAAAGACACTCAGCCCCCTCCTCCCAGAGACGAAGACCTTCCTGAAAACAAGAGAAAGGTAAAGTATGATGAACCGATACATCATGTTTTTCACATTTATTAAGTTTCAAGCCTTTTTGCCTCTTTCTAATTACCTATTTTTTAACAGGCCGTGAGGGAGAAGGAACTTGGGAATACTGCATATAAGAATAAGGACTTTGAAGCGGCGCTGAAACATTACGAAGAAGCAGTCAAACATGACCCCTCCAACATGACGTATATATCGAATCAAGGAGGTAATTATTCTTACACCTTAGATGGCTTCACACTTGAGCTCACTTACCCATGACGTGCCTAAAACTGACTATTCCGAATTTCTCACATATTGGATATAAAATGGGAAAATGTTTCAATCTCCTTTCCAATCACACTTTAGGATTGGTTCTTGAAATATTGACCCATTAAACTTGCCAACAGTTGAGCCTCAGTTCAACCAAAATGTAGGAACTGCCATGATTATTATGATCTTATAATTTCTACCACTGTTAAATGTGTACTCCGTTTTGTTTCGTTATCCCTTCAGCTGTCTACTTTGAGAAGGGAGATTTTGAGAAGTGCCGAGAGCTGTGTGAGAAGGCCATCGATGTTGGCAGAGAGAACCGGGAAGACTACAGACAAATTGCAAAGTGAGTTCTGTAAAAAGCATTTGTCTTTTTATTTATTTTATGTCTTTACTTGAGTGAAAGTACCCACACACTGCCTCATAACATAGAGGGCAGGATATCTATTTTGTGGGTCTTGTATGACAAAATGTCTTCATTAATTTATAAACAGTCTGTTCAGGGGCCTCATTTATAAAGCCTGGCGTAGGATTGACGTGGGAAGGTTGCTTACGTAGGACAAAGCAAATAAATACGTACAGACATTTTCGATTCATAAAAGACTGCGTACCGGCGCAGGACTTGCGTACGGCACATCCTACGCCGGTTTCCCTTTTTTTTTTTATAAATCGTAATCAACTCGAAATGCGGCGCAGCTTTTGCGGGCTTCACGTAACGCCCATATTTGCCTATAAATAGTCAAAGAAACGCCCATTCATTTTGACTGACTGCATGAAGAAGATCGCAGGAAATGACGACAGAACAGCTAAAAAAAGACATCTCACACCGTGTCAGATTTTGGTTATTTTGGGGAGGTCGAGATAAATCATATTGTTTGGTGGATGCAGTTTGAACCAGAGTAGCAGCATGGAGGTCGGATCGTCACCAAAATAAATAAAAAAAGTGGTCCAAAAAAGGTTAATGACAAAAAAAGACATAGCCTAACCTTCCTCAGGCAGTGTGTTTGTACCGGGGACAGGAGACCCCCCTTGATGAGAAACTGTAAGAAATGTTCGGGGAATCCCTCCGGAGTGGAGTCAAAAGTTAGCTGCTAATGGTAGCCACCAGAGTTATCGCAGCTTCCGGTTTTGGCTATGCGTCAGTCTCACACACACATTACCAAATAAGGAGTATGTGGGAGTTCCCCTCGATTCCATTGGCTCTGACGGTTAGAAAGAGATGTCAATCAGCAAAATCGAGCAAGGGGGGCCAGAGATAGGTCAAATGACCCCAGAATCAAGCAATGTTTATTTATATAGCCCAATATCACAAATGTTACATTTGTCTCAGTGGTCTTCACAATGTGTACAGAATATCAGTATGACAATACGAGGCCCTCTGTCCTTAGACCCTCACATCGTACAAGGAAAAACTTCCAGAGAAAACCCCACAGTTTAAAGGGAACATGGGAGAAACCTCAGGGAGAGCAACAGAGGAGGGATCCCTCTCCCAGGACGGACAGACGTGCAATAGATGCTGTATGTAAATCGAAAAGATAATACATTTAAAACATAGGTAGTCCAAATGTTTGGAAATGCATGTGTCTATAATAAGAAGATGAATCCACGAGGATGTCAGCAATCTTGTGGGAGCCATCAGTGAAGTAGTATGGTGAGAGTCTGGCAGGACCGCAGAGACGGGTTCAGCCACGACTCGAAGTCCAGGACTCAGATCCAGTGCTCAGGATAGAGGATCCAGGGCACACGACCACAGCAACATGATTAGCCTCGACTCAGGATCCCGGCGTATATATGGACACAAAAAAGAGATTTGGGGGAAACTGGGTTAATCGGAACATGAGAGTACACAGGTACAAACAGCCAGAAAGACGGAGTAAGGTGCCCCCCTCAACAGTCCAAGCCTATAGCAGCTAAACTAACGTGTCTACATACATGCACTCCCTTAGGATAGGTTGAGGGTAGCAAGTAAGAGGAAACAGAGGTGGAGAGGCACACACAGGGAAAAAGGTCCCCATTGGAACCTGAATTTGTCAGAGGTAGGAGTGGGTCAGTGACGTTCCACACTCCCCGGTCGGGCTAGGTGTTCTCTGCAACCTGTTACCATCTAATAAACCTCGAGAGGTCATAGAGGGGAAAGGTTTGTATAAAGTTTTAAATATAAGATCTAAGTTTTTAGGATTTAAGTGAAAGAGTAAGAACTAAAATGTATAGGTGAAGAGGCACAACGTATCTACGTCAATGCACTCTTATTAGATTATTTTATTTTATCACTATAAGCTTTTTCAAAAAGGAAGGTCTTAAGCATACTCTTAAAAACGGATAGGCTGTCTGCCGCCCACAAACTGGAAGCTGATTCCACAAATGTGGAGCTTGATAAGAAAAGGCTCTGGCTCCCATTGTACTTTTAAAAACTCTAGGAACAACCAACAACTCTGCATTCTTGGAACGCAATGCCCTAGTAGGACAGTAGGGTATAATGAGTTCTTTAAGGTAAGATGGCGCCTGCCCATTAAGAGCTTTGTAGGCACGGTACACTGTAACAAATAAGATTGGCTGCACAGTTTTCCAGGTCCGATGCGTAAGACTAAAAACGAGGCTTTCAAAGGAGGTATACTTTAATTTTGGTTTAGTATTGATAATTAAACTTGAGTCAAAGATTGCTGCAACTCCACCTCCTCGGCCCGTGCCTCGGGTAATATGAGTATTGATATGGCTGGGTGGAGTGGCCTCATTTATGCTGACATATTCTTCATGTCTCAACCAAGTTTCAGTGAGATAGCATTTATCAATATTATAATCTGATATTAAATCATTTACCAATATTGCTTTAGATGCTAAAGATCTTATGTTTAAGAGTCCACAATTTATCTTCCTGTTTTGTTGCACTGTAGTAGTTGTTACATTTACTTTTAAGTTATTATGTGTGACACCTCTATTAGTTTGGATTCCTAAAGCTTTTAGTCTACCATCCCATCATTTAAGGGTGGTTTTCACTAGAAGTACATTTTTATTTTTGGACGGACACAATCATTTACATTTTTTTTTACTGTGTTCTATCTGAATTTACTTTAAAATAAAAACATCTATATTGATTCTGACACTTCTACATCCAACTCGCAGGTGTAACCTTGCTTTGAGAAAAAAAGATTATTCATTTAACCCTTTTAGAACGGAAGATAATAGTCATTTGTTCTGGGAATGTAATTTTCGAGCCTGAGACCTGAAAAACAGGCTCGGGGCTTAACAGGTTAAATCATTTTAAAAATTGGCTTTAATCAATTTGTGGAAATGTATTCTTCATATATATATATGATAAATGAGAGGTAACATTCTATTTATGGTATTATTTCCACATATTTCTCTCCATTCTTCCTTCTGCCAACGGTGTCGCAGTTTCTCGTCTCTCCCGTTTTTGTGCTTAGTGCGTACGCATGGCTCAGTGTTTGTGTGGAGGACCGCACATTTTCCCGTGAAGTTTGTTTTTTATAAATCGCCAACATTGCGTGGAAACTGGCGTACGCCATCTTTTGAGCTTACGCACTGTTTCTAAATGAGGCCCCAGGTTGGGATTTTGGCAGCATTTGACGAGAAAAATTGTGTGTTATAGGAAACCATGATGTGTCAGTGTTGCTCTATTATTCCACACTTCATACTGGCCAAAGAGGACATAGTGATGTTACTGCTACTTAACCTTTTAATTGTGGTCACAAGCACTAAGGTGGAATTTGGACCGTTGTTTTAGCTAGTAGTTTCATAAGAATGATTATTTCTGAACTGCCCACTACTCTAATGAAAAGCTCCCTCATTCTCTGTGGTTTGCTTTTGAGTCTTTGGGTAAGAAAGCAAGCGCTCCAGCTCTCTGATGTAATGACATGTTTATCTTGTTCCGTCTCCTCCTTCTCTTTGTATAGGGCCTTGGCTAGGATTGGTAACTCGTACTTCAAGCAGGAACAATACAAAGAAGCAGTTCAGTATTTCAACAAGAGTTTGACGGAGCACCGTACTCCGGATGTCTTGAAGAAGTGCCAACAGGTGCAGTGAAAGCTGATTTCTAACTGAAATAAACGTTATTGTCACTCAGAACATTAGACAGTATTGGTAAAGTTTCAGTCTGATGGGAAAAAAAGGAAAAGTCTAGCGGGAATAAAAATATAACTGGGCATTTGACTTATACCTTGATATTGTGATTGGATCTGCAGGCGGAGAAGATATTAAAGGAGGAGGCAAAAGTAGCCTATATCAACCCCGAATTAGCCCTGGAATCGAAGAGCAGGGGCAATGAGTCCTTCCAAAAAGGTATGTAATAGTTGTAATGCTCGTTGGATAATCATTTAATTCTTCTTTTAAGAACTTCTTTAAAGATGAACTCGTACTTTTCCACAGGAGACTACCCCGTAGCCATGAAACAGTACTCCGAGGCCATCAGGAGAAACCCCAAGGACGCCAAACTGTTCAGTAACCGAGCTGCCTGCTACACAAAGCTGTTGGAGTTTCAACTTGCCCTGAAGGTACACCATATCCTCACCCTGCTTCTTCATTAGTCAGTTAAAAGAGATTGTAGCAAAGAAATGACCTTTGATATTGTTTTTGTTTATCAGGATTGTGAAGAGTGCATCAAACTTGAGCCCAGTTTCAGTAAGTAGAAACACTTCACATTTTACTTTAATAAAAGTGTTATTTTATTTTTTTTGTTTTACTCTTAACAGTTTATAAAAATTCCTTTTTGATTTGACACTTAATTCAACTCCATCTTTCCACAGTCAAAGGCTACACGCGTAAAGGTGCTGCCTTGGAGGCCATGAAAGACTTCACTAAAGCTATGGAGGTCTACCAGAAGGCTCTGGATCTCGAATCTAATTCAAAGGTATTTCACAGGTTGCTAACTCCGTAATCCTGGGGAAATAATAATAATTTACATGAATATAAGTAAGTAAGTAACATTTATTTATAAAGTGCTTTTCCCAGACATAGTCACAAAGTGCTTGACAAAGCATTAAAAGATTAAATGACCACAGGAGCCACGTGTTAAGACACACAAGTTACCCAACAATATACATATTTAAGTACTTAGTCTGGTTTTTGAATGATAAGTCATTACCTGAATTCCATTTTCAGGTGTAGTGTGACTCAGAATAATAGATTCAATATTCTGTCATCTTTCTCAAAAACAGGAACATGGTAATTCATTGTTATCTGTAGGAATTGATTTGGGGACCATCAAAGCAAATGCTCAACACCTAAATCTATAAAACAACTACTCTGACGATGGAGACTTATTCATATATGCTTGCTAATGATCAATTGTTTTTCTTCCATTACTCCACATTCAGGAGGCCACAGAGGGAATACAGCGCTGTATGTTCAGTCAGACGTCTATAAGGACTGACAGTCCCGAGGACGTGAAGAAGAGGGCCATGTCTGACCCCGAGGTGCAGCAGATTATGAGTGACCCCGCCATGCGCATGATCCTTGAGCAAATGCAGAAGGACCCTCAGGCGCTTAGCGAGTAAGTCCAGCAACTTTTTCAAGTCACTTCCTATTTCTCAGCACAGATAAGTTAATGTCTCTTTTTTTTCTTCTGTTTCGTTCCTCAGACACTTAAAGAATCCAGTGATTGCTCAGAAGATTCAGAAACTCATTGATGTTGGACTGATAGCCATTCGTTGATGATAACCAAGAGACTCCAAGACAACGTGCAAATCCATTCAAAACATAACATCCTCCTTTCTTGCCTTCAAATTCAAAATTATATTGTCGTTAGTCTCCCTGAGACTATGTGTATGGTATGTTTTTTTTTTTTTTTTTTAAATCAGTTTCACAACTTTTTCAATGTATTAAAGAAAGCATCTTGTATGTCATCTGGAAGACTTGTGGACTCCAGGAAACATTATCTGAACAAATCTGGATTCATGTGTACAGATGCTCTATTACATGAAATAAAACGGCACAATTTAGTGCAGCAGCACACACCGTGTTTAAAGGGGAAATTCCCCCGTAAGCAGATATTGCTATATTCCTATTGAATCAGGGTTTAAAGAAATAAACAATATTTAAAAAAAAAAAAACAATTGTAATGGAGATAACAAAGAAATTGTCAACATAAGTCATTGTTAACTCTTGTTTTTTTTTTCCGTTTGACTAAACATGGTGCATTTAAAGCCGAGCGCTCAGGTTTGATCAGCTCCTTCCTGGTTGATCTCCCGCCGCAGGTAGAAAGTTGAATCTATTGACCACTCACATGTTTGGTATTATTTTTGTACCTATCTGACATATTCCAGGTTAGTTTTTTCTGCCTTGCGTTCTTTGGTTGAATGTATTATGTGTGTACAGCTAATCAGAAATAATAATATCAGAAATGTGCTTGAGGATGTTGAAACATAACTGGGACTGGAAGTGCATTTCATGATGCCATTAATAGTGTAGGGAAACTGATGAGTGATTTAAGATTGAGGTTGATACAGTAATTAAGGCAGCCATGTTATTGTTTTTGTACTGTTAGTCAAAAATTAAAATGTTGGAGGCAAAGCTCTTGTGCCAGTTGCTGTCTGCAAGAATACTGTAGAAAGATTGTGATGTGTTGACCTAGCATAACAGTCCTGCTCACAGTGTTGTAATTTGGTGACCAAGTTTACCTTAGCGCAGGCAGAAGTGTGTTGATGATTCATGTTAAAGATGCTTTTGACTGGTCTCAAAGGGTGGATTTACCTTTCTAAACCATCAGCTATTGGTTGAGTAACGGGGTCACAATTATCTTACTTTATGATAAATCTTGTTTGTCTGCTTCAAATGACACAAGCTAACGACACAGCAGAAAAAAAAGGTGTGGGCCATGTCTACATTAAAGTCCCATAGTGATAAACCACACACAACGACCAAGTTACTATGTGGTGGATGGTGTTTATGAAACTCATTACAGGTGAAACTTACTTATGGTACATCAGATGTACAGTGAAATATACAGTTACTTCATGTAATTTAAAGGTGGCTTTTTGTACTAAGACCAACAATGACTCAATGCAGTAGGAGACCTACATTCTAAGGTCTAATTCTGTGTGATTTTAAAACATTACAATACATAAATAAAAAGTACAATTAGAAATTATTGTATATACAAATATCAGTGTAAATGGATATGCTTCCTGTTGAGAGATATATGGCAAAGTGTTCAGAGTTGAAGGACCTGTCCCTCAGTAATGTATCGTTGAGACAGGATCTGATCTAACTGGTTTTCCTGAGGACTCGAACGTTGCTCCGCCCACACAGGCGGCTCACGTGACTGACCGTCGCCCAGGTTGTGTCGAAAGCATCCTGGTTTTAGCAGTTAGCTACCCTCTGATGAAAATATAAAGTGATGGTGTTAATATTTGTATATGCGAATTATTACCTTGGCTTTAACGGTGTCCAAGACGACACGGATTTACCTTAACTGGCCCTGGTAGATGATATCTGAAGAAGCCAGCTGACATTGCTAACTAAACATTAGCGTAAGCTAACGTCCACACTTTGACGGGCAAGAGCAGCAATTCGTTAGCTAGCTGCTAGTCTGCCAAATTACTACGACCATCCTAGTTAGCCAGGTAACATATCTTGTTGTTGTAGCAATTATGCTAACTATCTAGCGACGTAGGTGTTTACGCACCGAACAACAGGTGATTTTGAACAGACGTTTCTGTAAAACTGGCGTTAACGTTATTACTAAATAACGTGAGCTAACTTATCAATAATGACTTATGTGAAGCAGCTAATGCTAACGCTAGCGACTTAAACTTCATTGTAACTAACATACTCAATTGCCGCTGTGATTATATTTCTCATAGTTAATAGTGAAATAAAGCGAACAGCAGCCAGTAGGAAGCTTTTTTAAAGCTACGCGTCTGTGTTTTGTAATTTATTTCATCCAATCACGAGATAAATAATGCAAAACATTAGGATGTTGAACGCTTGGGGATTAACATTTGGACAACAGTATTGTCTAGAAAACACAGCTGTCCGGTCATTTCGGTAATCCCCGTTTTCTTCGTAATGCAGCTACAATAGATGTTTTTAATTGCTGAACGATAAAGTAAACATCCTGTATACACCAATCAATATTTAGCTATCAAGTGTACCTTTAACAGTCTGTATAGGCTATAGCATACCCTGATTTAAGTTATGTCTGGGGACGCATCTGATAGTAGTGATGACTCCGATACAAAAACAAATGAAAAGGCCTGCACCGTCAAGCATCAAATCACCAATGGTAAGTGAAGGCACCTGTTTGTAATCAACACGTTATACGCTACTGTATGTAACCCTACCTATACAAACCTCAAAACACCGTAGTTTATTCCATCATTCCATTTATTCAACATACGTGTAACATATATACATTGTTTATATTGTTGTATTTTTGTCATTGTTGATTAAACTCTGCAGAGTTAGAAATGAATACACTTAGTATCTTCTGATAATGGATCTTATGGTAATGTTGTATTGGATTGCATGATACTGTAAGTTGTTTCTAACTATGCTTGCTTCTCTATCTGATTCGGTCAATACAAAAACACATATTCTCAATTTAAATACATGAATGACTTACTTCTTTATGATGTTGTATAACAGAAGATGTTTTTAATTGATTTGGAAAGATCTTACCCTAGCGACTTAAACATTGAATCATTATTCAAATTATATGTGTGTCTTTTTCTTCTTTATTATTGTGATATTTTTGCCACTACATGGTATTTTTTGTCCACTTCTGAATGTCAAAATCAGGGATTACTTTGTGTTGAATTCAGTCCCTCACAATTTAAACATTATGGGTCTTTTTGCATATTTTCAGAGATGCAAATTCCTTTTTTAAACGTGTCTGCTTGTTCTTTATTTAAACACAACAATTCTGCCCATTAGCTAACCTCACAGGTCACACTGAGAAGGTCGGCATCGAGAACTTTGAGCTGCTCAAAGTTTTGGGCACTGGAGGTAAGTGTCTACATGAAGCATTAAATATAGAAGCAGTTGTTATTGTACCTGAGTTAAACGTGATTAGATGTAGGAGGAATATGCAAAGCAGACAGGAGGTATTTTCCTTCTGTCATTAATTATCTTAAGGGTAGTGTTTTTAATGATTTGTTTGTAGCTTGTATGAGAAAGCATCCCTGATGACTTGATGCTCTGGTGAAACTGTTCTTAACATTCATATCCTGATAGGAAGATTGCAAATCATCATCACAGCATAAGATTTATCAGCGTGTTTGAAGGTATACCATGTGCTCTTGATGTCTCCGTTATTAAATCTGATTCATAATGAATCCCAATGAGAAAAGTAAAAGGCTGTTTTAATCAACACAGCAACACCTTAATAAAGTTAATGTGCAGGAATGCTTTATTAATCTATTCCAGTTATTATATAATGCCTTAATGATGTATTGCTTGTCTTTGTCTAGCTTATGGAAAAGTGTTTTTGGTCAGGAAGAACACCGGCCACGATGTGGGCCAGCTATATGCAATGAAGGTAAGACAATTTGTCTAAAAATATTCACCTAAATAAGATGACAAAACAGTTCTTTCTGAGACACAACTTTAAAATACTATTCAAGGCGGGGAAAACAATTTATTATATTGTAAATCTTTGACTCATTTTGCTTTTACACAAAATGTATTGAGATACTTGCACAGCTCATGCTTATTTGGCATGTCAACTTGATTTTGATCTCTACTTTAGGTGTTAAAGAAAGCAGCGATTGTTCAAAAGGCAAAGACCACAGAGCATACTCGCACTGAGAGGCAGGTGCTGGAGCACATCCGCCAGTCTTCCCTTCCTGGTCACGCTCCACTATGCCCTTTCAGACGCAAAGCAAACTACACCTAATCCTGGGTGAGGAGTGAGTGATGACACACACTGCAGCCAAAACATGAAGAACTCCTGATCGCCAGTCATGAAGCGCTGAATAGATGTTTTCTTCGTGTTTCTGTTTTTCTGTTTGTCTGTTTGTTGGCATAATTTGTGTTTGGGTAATTTTCGTAATTGTCTATTGAAGCTCTCTGTGTATTTGCCTGTGTGTTTGGGTACAGGACTATGTGAGTGGCGGGGAGATGTTCACTCATTATACCAGCGGGACCACTTTCCTGAAGAGGCTGTGCGGATTTATATTGGGGAAATAATCTGGCTCTGGAGCACCTGCACAAGGTGGGTGTTTATCCCTCCAGCTCTGTGATTTTAAGCTATATTTATAGATCAGAGTAGTTTTTGGATAGTTCTTTGGATACAAAGATGCCGAAGACAGACAAAGCACGCTTATAGAGACACCAACGTATCATTTTTATATTTGGTGAAGCTGTAAGAATTCACAAACTGTTGCCTAATCACACACATTTAGCAGATATTCACATTATCATTCAAGTCCCATTGTTGGTGGTCTTTTATCAATGACTCGGTAGCCACCAACTCCCTGACTATTTACCAGATTTTCTAGAACTATCTGTCATTTGGTTCTGGATAAAAGGAATGTAGTTTACTTTGAGAACATTATGAACATATTCACTGTTTTTAATTATTAACAGTGGTCTCTAACTTTCTAAGTTATGACCTTAATGCTAGACAGTGCATTTAAAGAAATAAAAACCTTGACATCGCAAAACACTGATATAGTAGATTTTTGACTTGTATGAGTTGTTCCTTTGCATAGCTTCAAATTAAAGCAATCTAAGCAAAAGCATCTTTAGTGACTCATATCCTCATTTTGAATTACTTAACAGAGTTGGGAAATGCTGCAATTACTGACAATAACCAGTTGATAATGGCTCATTCTGTCTTCATTGTTTTTAAAAAGGTTTACTAAGTTCTTTTGTGACTGTCACTGTAGAAATGAAGATGATTCATTATTGACTGTTTTTTGTTAGCTTGGGATTGTGTACCGAGACATCAAATTGGAAAATATTCTTCTCGACAATGAAGGCCATGTGGTGTTGACAGACTTCGGGCTCAGCAAGGAGTTTCTGGAAGAAGAGGTATGTAAACATGATACCAAAACCTAAACATGTGGACAGTGATACATGGAAGGTAAAACCTCTGTTGTTGCAATCAGAACAATATTTTATTTATACAAGATTGTTTTGAATACTTATACTATATCTTCCCTTTCTCCTCCGTACAGAAGGAAGGACATACTCTTTCTGTGGCACCATTGAGTACATGGCACCTGAAATCATCAGGGGGAAATCAGGGCATGGCAAGGTAATCAAACATGTTGTTCGTGTTTTTTTTGGTCCACGTTGAAGATTGAAGAGTAGTAGTAACTGGTAAGTAATTATTCT